GTAGAGCACTGTGGATATAGGCTTTTGAAACCTCAAAGCACACCCCAGTGATATGTGACACCCTTCCTCCACAAGGCCAAACTCCAAGAAAGCCACACCTCCTAATCCTTTTAATCCTATCAAAGAGTTCCAGTCCCTGGTGACTAAGCACTCAAATATATGAGGCTGTGGAGGCCACTGTAATTCAAAATGCCATAACACTTGAACACCATATATTTATAAATGCTTAGAGTAATTAATATTAGCTTATTAGGGGTCTTTTAAGCCTAGGAGACAGGTCTCAATTTTTCCAGTTACCCTAATAAGAGCCCTATAATTCAGGTAGAAAATCTGTACAGTTCTAGACTAGCTATTTTGATTGTGTTGTCATTTAATTCTGTGATAATGGCCTGAAATGGTTAATTAAGCTCCTGAAAAATAGTTTAAGCTCCTAGAAAGTGGCTCAAAAGTGCTGTGGGGGAATCTGACAGTACGTAGACACTCCTGCCAGTTAAGTTATAATTATTCTAAAAGTGGGAAGGCTTCAATGCTGCTTTAATGGATGCATGGTACTTGCCTATATTTATGCGATAGAATGTGGCATTTCAATATGCATATGCTGTGCATAATGATGACATAAAAGAAATTGTCCTATCTTTTCAGAAATACAGAATGTCTTTGGGAGAATGTCAACGATTTAACCTCGCTCAATTTTCTAATCTTAAAAACAGAGAGTAGTGTATTATGCTTTTCATCTCTACATGGACAGGATTTACTGATTTTGGTTCAAAGTTTCAGTCTATCATGGTGGGGAAAGCATGAAATTCAGGAAAAAGAGAGGGAGGGAAGAAGAAAGAGGAGAGAGGGAGGGAGGGAGGAAGGGAGGGAAGGAGGGAGGGAGGAAGGAGGGAGGAAGAGGAGGAAGGGGGAGGGAGGGACAGAGAGAGGGAGGGAGGGAGAGAGGGAGGGAGGGAGCAGTGGAAAGGAGTAAGCCTGTGTAGTGGAGCCTTCTTTTTGCTTTTCTTCCTCTGGTCTTGTAGCCTATGGAATAGTGTTACTATTTTCTCTGAAACTATCCTCAAAGACACACTGAGAACTTACCCAGTCTCTAGGCACTTCTTCAGTAAAGCTAACTAGCAAGATGAACCATTATAAATTTACTCCTTATACACACTCAAACATATCTCTTAAATCCTAGTGGTCACATTTGGTTCCCCAAAGGCTCATAGCCATCTTTTTCTTTTAACCGTGTATGTCCATGTTCATCTATGTGAGTGCATGTGTATGTGAGTGCACATTTGTGTGGAAGGTAAAAGATAATCTCCATTGTTGTCCCAGGTGCCATCACCTTTGGTTGTTGTTTGGTTTTTGTTTTGACCTAAAGTCTCAGTGGCCTGGACCTTGTCAAGTCTGCTAAGCTGGCTGGCCAGTAAGCACCAAGGATCCACTCCTTTCTCCTCCTCCAGCATTGGAAATCCATGTGGCCACACTCAGCACTTTGTTTGTTTGCATGGGTTCTGGGGACCAAACTTTGTTCCACTTGCATTTCCAAGAGTCTTAATAGTCTAGCCTTGTTGAAAAGCTCAAGTTCAGAGCCTACACTGAGACTCAACACAAGCGTTTTCCCTTAAAATCCTTTAAAATAAAATTTAAAAAATTAAGTAACACACTCTCAGTGGCCAGAAGTAAGCATTCCTATTTTTTCAAGATGTCTAAATAGGAAAACACAGATGAGCAATGGGACCAGTACAAGATTAAAACCTAGGTAAATGTTTAATATTGAAACTCCAAGTTTGATATCTCAATCACATGGTAGCATGAAACGAATTCCCAAGGGCTTTGGCAGTTCAGCCACTTCTACCTTTCTGGCTGTAGCACACATGGCCTCCTTCTTAGACTGACTGTGCTCCTGACCTGTAGATTTCCTTTTCAGATGTTCTTGGTTCCTAGAATCTAACTTCCAAGGGTCTCCTCTCCATTTGACCTCTGGCTTTATTGTCATAGCTTCACTCCTTACCCTTTAGAGGCTACCTGAAGAGAAGCTGACCATGGCACATATTACCTGGCCTCCCAGGCCTTTCTTAGAATTGAGTATAGAAGCTTCCATGAACCATAATTCTTATGTTCTGCATATCTGCAAAATTAGCGTAATGTGGATGATTCCAAAGTCTCTGTCAGTAGAAGCTCTCTAGGACCACAGCTGCAGCAACCTCGAGGGCCTAGATGACTGAACATGAGACAGCTCTACCCTTAGTGGCTCTGTGCATGCGGAGAAGACTTCTCAAAATAACATCTTCCATATGAGTTCAAAATGTTATAGCTTTAAGCCTGTGATAAATGGGGTCTGCATAATTTCTAGGATTCTCTCAAAGCACCCTTCTTATTGTACTTATTCTAAGTATTTAGTTTTGTTTTAATGATCCTGCCATACTTGGTTCTTTTATGGGTAACCTAAAAGCTTTTCTAAAGTTGTCCACTGTACTTTTTTCTTTTAAATCACATTTATTTCTATAAACTTGGCTAAAATGAGCAAGCAGTAACCATGCTATAACCTGAATTATTGGTGGCCTTGAAATGACAATTAAGTCTACCACTTTTAAACTCAACTCTGCTTCATTTAGAGTATTAAGACATTAATGACAAATAGTCTCTTGTCCAACTCCTATGAGTATGGCCTTTACTAACGACATTCCTGGGCATTCTTATCTTATGAAGGTATATCAGAATTGCCTACTAAGTTCTGCTTATAGCATTCTAGGCTTTCTGTAGCCTAGTTCTTCAAGCATGTTCAACTCTTTACCACAAAGCAGTTTCAAAGGCCTCTGAACCATGTCAAATATAACAACAATGACCCCACTTCTCTGGTATGAATTTTCTGCATTAAAGTTATTGCCATCGTGTAAAATAACCTGATAGAGCAATTAAAGGGAAAGATTATTTATTTTGGCTAATAGTTTTAGTTCATCAGAGGAGGAAGAGCATAGCATTGCATCATGGCAACCCAGAGAGGGAAATGAATGGCACAAGTGGGAGACCTGGGAGGTAAGAGAATAGAAGAGAGTGGCAGTGGAAGAGAAACAGGCAGACAAATGAGTATGCCAGCTCAGCTCTCTTCTTTCCTACCTTTATTTTACCAGGGCCCATAGACTATGTATGAGATATTGCTGCCCACATTCAGGGGTAGGTCTTCTCTTCTTAGTTAATCCTCTCTGAATACTGTCACAGATATACACAGAGATGTGCTTTATTAACTGCTTAAGTGCTTCTCAACCTGGTTAAATTGACAGTCAGGATTGCCATCAGAGACAGAGCACCTAGGGTCACTTGTTTTCCATCAGCTTTACTTGCTGATCGAAACCAAGGTTGGTGATCGCACTGTAGGGAGACTCCATCTGTTTATATTTCACAAGCAAAGGTTTCTGTTCAGAATTAACCACAAAACGTTGGTACATGTACTAAATAGAGGGTACTCCAGTTATCTTTTATATACACTGTACTTTCTCACCCTGTAGCAAACATACCTGTACACACACACACACACACACACACACACACACACACACACAGTGGTACCTTTATAAGCAAAGAATTAAATACTTCCTATAAGCCCTTCAACTCACATTATAAGAAGGGTAATTGATGATCCACTAAATCACCACCAAGTTCTTGACAGTTTCTTCAGAATTATTTATGGT